CCGAGGGTAGACAACAGACTGTGGCTTGAGTTGCTAGCGAAGGAAGGCAATCGGTCGGGTGTTTCATAAAACAACCGATCGGGTGAGCGCAAGTAAAGGATTGGGCAGACAGCCGTTAAATGTTCATGAATGCGTGGTTAATGAGGTAACGACCCTTGTCGAGTATTTAAAGTGAGTATTGAAAGTCATTAAAAGGTAAATTAATGAATAATAGTCCTTGTAATTGTATAAATAGAAGTCAAAGGGGAAGGTAAACTCTCGATTCAATTTGATAACTATAGACTTGCGAGAGTTCATTCTGACTTGAGCGTCGGAGTGTTTGCTGCAGGTCAATCCATTTGTACGGACACCGAGCGCAGAGAAGACCAGAAGAGGAAGACCGATCAGAGGAGGAGGAGTGTTTCCGGACGGAGGTGGCAGGAGTGTTCCCCGGTCCCGTTCAGCAGAAACATTTTGGCGCCCACCGTGGGGTCGAGGGAAGTAGAAGATAACCTTTACGACTAGAGGAATGGATCAAGACCCAGCTGCGTTTGTACAGGAGATGAGGAGAAGAATGGAGGCTATGCAGGCGGAGATAGAAACTTTGAGAGCCGAGCGTGATGCGGCCAGGGGGGCGCACGCCAATCGTCCTTCGCGCGCCCTGTCACCAGTAGTGGAGATGCCGGAAACTGATCTGGATTCAGAAGATGGTACGGACCCAATGACTGAAAGTTATGATCAAGAGAGGGAGCAGAGTGAGGCCGAGTCGTATCGGGGTGCTAACCGTCCGACCACAGCCGGTCGGGTTAGAGCATTGCATCCGTTTACGGCCACAATCATGGAGGAACAGATTCCGGACCGAATGTTCCCGTCCTTGGAAAAATATGACGGCTCGGGTGATCCGGAAGAGCATTTGAGGTCTTCTGTGGACGCGATGACCGTATATTCACCCAGGGAGAATGTATGGTGTAGGGTTTTTTCTTTGTCAATAAAAGGAGAAGCTTTAGCCTGGTTCCACTCACTGAGACCTCGAACAATCAATAGTTTTGCTACTCTAAGAGATAAGTTCGAACGACAGTTTTCGGCAGGACGAGCGCGAAACTTGACGTATCTAGAGTTGACTAACATAAAGCAGGAGAAAGGAGAAAGTCTTAGGGCTTTCATGGACAGATTCAACCGAACCGCTCGGCAAGTAAAGGGGGTAGGCAAGAAATTTACCATCAGCACTCTGGCAACCGCGCTAAGGCCTTCCCAATTTGCTGACAACCTGTTCGCGGAGCCTCCTTTAACTCTAGATGAGTTACAAGAGAGGGCTGCTAGATTCATGAGAATAGAAGAGATGAGGGCAGTACAGCGAAGGCAGCAGGAGCAAGGGACGAGCGCGGGGTAGGAGAAGAAAGAGGGCAAGAAGCCGTTCGTCCCAAGCGAACGGCCGAAAGGTCAAAAATTTAGAGATGGCCCGAGGGGGGGTAGATATGATCAATACATCCCGCTGAACGCACCGAGAGCGAGGGTGCTTGAGGAAGCCCTGAATGCGGATCTGTTGAAGGTGAGACCTTCCAAGTCATTACCAAAAGCGGATGGAACCAAACATTGTACGTATCACTTAAACATAGGACATAGCATCGAGGAGTGCACGGTGTTGAAAGATGAGGTGGAGGAACTGATCCGAGCCGGTCATTTAAGGAGATTTGTGAAGGAAGAGAGAAGGATAAGAAGTTCACCCAGGAGAAGTAGGGTGGAAAGAAATGATAGAAGAGAAGACCGGCGTTCCGACCGTAGGAGGAGTAGAAGCCGCAGCCATGACCGATCGCTGCGAGGCACAATAAACACCATCTCGGGTGAATTTGTACGGGGGGCGTCCGCGTCCGCGAGGAAGAGAAACTTGCGGGAGCTTAAGAGCGTTCATAGGGTAGATGTGAGAAANTTGAAAGAACATCCACCTTCTTCAACAATATCACTGCCAATTAGCTATTGAAAGCAGAAATTGAGATTTTTCATTCATTTTCAACAACTGTCTAATACAACACATTGTCTAATACAAAATAGTCATGGAATTTTAAACAAGATACAAACAAGGATGACATTAATAAACCCCATAAAACATAGCATCCATGTTAATTGCTTCTCCCATTTCTGAGAAACCATAGCAGATTTCTCCAGACTAATAATTTTCCTCCTTTGCCTAGCAATAATAGTATCCCTTTCATCCAAATTAGCTTCATTGCACCATTTAAAATAATTGCATCCTTGAAGTTCTTCGTTTCGAGTCCGCTGTTCAAAACATCCAACCACAAACATTTCATTACTCAAAAAATAAACTAATCACTAAAATGAAACTACAGCCATTGAACAAACCTTGTAATTAGGGCATCCCCAAAATTGTTTGCCTTCGTTCTTCACAGTTTTCGCCACTCTCAACACAGCAACTTCCCCACAATGACATATGTTAGTTTGAACCAATCCTCTGGATGAAACGGCACGACAGCTCCCCCATGAGCAAGACGAACAACACTGATGATTCAATGACATTGCCACTTCCTAAGCCAAGGAAAAAACGACACAACCTCACAACCAAGCTTTCTCACCCAACCCCAATCCACACAGTACCAACACTTCTTCAACCAACTCCAAACCGAAGAACAGCCATTTCTCAACAAACACCCAAAGAGGGAGGAAGAAGTAGAGGGAGGAAGAACAATAAACTCACCAAGCTACTGCCAACACAAAACAGCAAACCCTAACGAAGAAGAAGACAGCCAACACCATCAACTCCCACCACGCATCTGTCACTTATAACCTCATTGAGGTACTTCCCACTTAGGGCATCCACGTAAACCTCTCTTTTGCCACGTTTTAATTCTCTAGTGCCAAATAATCAGCCACTTAACACCATTAGTGTGTATTTAACGGAGATGACTACATTGACACAAATTTTTTCTATGTTTGGATTCAATTGACACTTTTACACCACGTGAGGACGACAATGAAACTTTTTTAAAAATGAGGATGAATTTGACACAATTGAACCAAACTGGGGACAAAGGAAGCAATTAAACCTTAAAACTATGCTCTCTATGTTGGTACCGCCTAATGCAGTTTGATTGGCACCCAACACAATTAAAAGGATCATCCTTTGTTATGTTACCATCCAGTGCACACAAATTAGTGCTCTGTGCAGCCTAAAAATGTAGTATTTTCGACTATGACATTTGCTAATTGTTTTGTTCACAACTTTACTACAAGTGTCCAATTAAATTGATTTTTTTTGCATTAGATTTTAAACACAAATAGCTTTAATTTGGGTGGTAGAATATATCTTTTTTGAAGCTTTAGACAAGACACAGTTTAATTTGGAAGTTAGAGGTAATTGTAAATGGAAGACAATATCGAATTTTCAAGTAAAACGTATCAAAATTCACATAACCATGTGAACACTTTATTGTAATTCTCTGCAGAACTTCGTGTATCACATGATAAAGACTTTGACGAAATTTGTTTAATTGACATTTTATACTCTCTTTTTTTCATAAAGGGCATGAATGAAATATATACACAATTTACCTTATGGATGAAATATTTTTTGTAAATAGTGTGTGAATCATTCCAAAATTTCTTTTTTTTCTAAACCTACAATCATTCCATTAAGTGTTGTTGATTTCTTATCTAACTTTATTAGAAAATTATAAACTACTTATATTTAATTTTGTAGTGTATTATTTACATGTTATTTAATATTTACTTATAATTTTTTTTATTATGTAGCCTAAAAATAACAAAGACCCCATTGAGTTAATAGTTCAATAGACTACATGACAAATTCTATCTGTTAATTGGTGTAGGGTGAACATTGATAGTGCAGTTAGGGTTTTAATTTGGCTTCATGTGATGGTACTTTAAGAGGAAATCAAAATGAATGTGAATAATTTTTCAGTTTTTTAATACTACACACTTATAACTAGGCTAAGTTTATGAGACTATTTATACTTTGAAGCATGTTTGGAAGAAGAGCTTTTAGAAGTTTTGGTTCGAAAATGATTCTTCTTTAATATATTATGGTTTTTTATACCAATGAGTAGTTCTTAAAATTTTAGACTCGCATTTTTGTATTTATACGCAGTTCAAAGTTTTTTCATATTTTATTGTGAAAGAAATTATTGTGTTAATAAGTTAACTAATTTAACTTTTGATTAATACCTGATTTACATAACAAAAGTTAAAAGAATTATTAACTCTTTTAATCTGATTGGTATATGTTTTACATTTAAGTTATATTATTGTTGTTACTACCGTCGGTAGGCAACCGACCGTGGCTTGTGGTATTACCGAGAGTAGGTGACCGACCACAGAGTGTGTTATTACCGAGGGTAGACAACAGACTGTGGCTTGAGTTGCTAGCGAAGGAAGGCAATCGGTCGGGTGTTTCATAAAACAACCGATCGGGTGAGCGCAAGTAAAGGATTGGGCAGACAGCCGTTAAATGTTCATGAATGCGTGGTTAATGAGGTAACGACCCTTGTCGAGTATTTAAAGTGAGTATTGAAAGTCATTAAAAGGTAAATTAATGAATAATAGTCCATGTAATTGTATAAATAGAAGTCAAAGGGGAAGGTAAACTCTCGATTCAATTTGATAACTATAGACTTGCGAGAGTTCATTCTGACTTGAGCGTCGGAGTGTTTGCTGCAGGTCAATCCATTTGTACGGACACCGAGCGCAGAGAAGACCAGAAGAGGAAGACCGATCAGAGGAGGAGGAGTGTTTCCGGACGGAGGTGGCAGGAGTGTTCCCCGGTCCCGTTCAGCAGAAACATTTTGGCGCCCACCGTGGGGTCGAGGGAAGTAGAAGATAACCTTTACGACTAGAGGAATGGATCAAGACCCAGCTGCGTTTGTACAGGAGATGAGGAGAAGAATGGAGGCTATGCAGGCGGAGATAGAAACTTTGAGAGCCGAGCGTGATGCGGCCAGGGGGGCGCACGCCAATCGTCCTACGCGCGCCCTGTCACCAGTAGTGGAGATGCCGGAAACTGATCTGGATTCAGAAGATGGTACGGACCCAATGACTGAAAGTTATGATCAAGAGAGGGAGCAGAGTGAGGCCGAGTCGTATCGGGGTGCTAACCGTCCGACCACAGCCGGTCGGGTTAGAGCATTGCATCCGTTTACGGCCACAATCATGGAGGAACAGATTCCGGACCGAATGTTCCCGTCCTTGGAAAAATATGACGGCTCGGGTGATCCGGAAGAGCATTTGAGGTCTTCTGTGGACGCGATGACCGTATATTCACCCAGGGAGAATGTATGGTGTAGGGTTTTTTCTTTGTCAATAAAAGGAGAAGCTTTAGCCTGGTTCCACTCACTGAGACCTCGAACAATCAATAGTTTTGCTACTCTAAGAGATAAGTTCGAACGACAGTTTTCGGCAGGACGAGCGCGAAACTTGACGTATCTAGAGTTGACTAACATAAAGCAGGAGAAAGGAGAAAGTCTTAGGGCTTTCATGGACAGATTCAACCGAACCGCTCGGCAAGTAAAGGGGGTAGGCAAGAAATTTACCATCAGCACTCTGGCAACCGCGCTAAGGCCTTCCCAATTTGCTGACAACCTGTTCGCGGAGCCTCCTTTAACTCTAGATGAGTTACAAGAGAGGGCTGCTAGATTCATGAGAATAGAAGAGATGAGGGCAGTACAGCGAAGGCAGCAGGAGCAAGGGACGAGCGCGGGGTAGGAGAAGAAAGAGGGCAAGAAGCCGTTCGTCCCAAGCGAACGGCCGAAAGGTCAAAAATTTAGAGATGGCCCGAGGGGGGGTAGATATGATCAATACATCCCGCTGAACGCACCGAGAGCGAGGGTGCTTGAGGAAGCCCTGAATGCGGATCTGTTGAAGGTGAGACCTTCCAAGTCATTACCAAAAGCGGATGGAACCAAACATTGTACGTATCACTTAAACATAGGACATAGCATCGAGGAGTGCACGGTGTTGAAAGATGAGGTGGAGGAACTGATCCGAGCCGGTCATTTAAGGAGATTTGTGAAGGAAGAGAGAAGGATAAGAAGTTCACCCAGGAGAAGTAGGGTGGAAAGAAATGATAGAAGAGAAGACCGGCGTTCCGACCGTAGGAGGAGTAGAAGCCGCAGCCATGACCGATCGCTGCGAGGCACAATAAACACCATCTCGGGTGAATTTGTACGGGGGGCGTCCGCGTCCGCGAGGAAGAGAAACTTGCGGGAGCTTAAGAGCGTTCATAGGGTAGATGTGAGAAAGCGACACATGCCGCCAATCACATTCACAGATGAAGATTTTCATGCCCCTGACCTAGAGGAAGATGACCCGATGGTGATAACGGCAGTTATTGCCAGATATAGTGTGGGAAAGGTGCTAGTAGATCAAGGCAGTTCGGTCAACATCTTATACTGGAAAACATTCCAGCAAATGGACATATCAGAGGACCTGATCGCTCCATATAATGAACAGATAGTGGGATTTTCTGGGGAGCGAGTGGACACCAGGGGGTATGTGGATCTTAGAACATGCCTAGGGACCGAACGGAGTAAGGAAGTGAAAACCAGGTTCTTACTGGTGGACGCTAACACTTCCTATAATGTGTTGTTGGGGCGACCATGTCTCAACGCATTTGGGGCGATCGTTTCCACGCCTCACCTCACACTGAAGTTTCCGTTAGACAATGGGAATATCTGTGCCGTTCGGTCAGATCAAACGATTGCACGAGAATGCTACATGGCAGGGTTGAAGGTTCAACCGTCATCATCGGGCTCGCGCAGTCGGAGTAGGAGGAGGTGATCGGAGGTAGCCATGGCAGACTTAGATCCAAGGACGAATACCGATGATCGTATGGAACCGATGGGGGAGACAAAATCCTTCCGCCTGGGGCCGAAGGAGGAACAAATTACTACCGTCGGGAGTGAATTGGAGGAGGATCACGCCAATTTAGTGGGCACTTTATTGAGAGATAACGAAGATTTGTTCGCCTGGACTGCAGCTGATATGCCAGGAATCCATCCGAGGGTAATGTCACATAAGCTAGCATTATTCAAAGAAGCCCGACCGGTAGCTCAGAAGAAGAGAAGAGTGGGGGAGGAGAAGCGGTCGGCAATAGCAGCGGAGGTGAAGAAACTGTTGGAGGCTGATTTCATCCGGGAAATCAAGTACACAACGTGGCTGGCGAACGTGGTGATGGTGAAGAAGATGAATGGAAAGTGGAGGATGTGTACCGACTTCACAGACTTAAATAAGGCCTGTCCCAAAGACTCTTATCCACTACCAAGTATTGATGCGTTGGTGGATGGGGCGTCAGGATTTCAAGTGCTAAGTTTCCTGGATGTTTATTCAGGGTATAACCAAATCCCCATGTTCCCACCAGACAGCGACAAAACGACGTTCATCACCGAGCGGGCAAACTATTGCTATGATGTTATGCCGTTCGGGTTGAAGAACGCAGGGGCCACATACCAACGGTTGATGGACAAGATATTTGCTGATCAGATTGGTAGGTGTATGGAGGTATATGTGGACGACATGGTGGTGAGAAGCCGTTCGGTGGAAGATCATGTGCGGGATTTAGCAGAGGTTTTCCAGCAAGTGCGCAAATATGACATGCGCCTCAATCCGGCCAAATGTACATTCGGAGTACCGGCGGGAAAATTTTTAGGGTTCCTGCTAACAACTAGAGGCATTGAGGTGAACCCGGATAAGTGCCAAACGATATTGGAAATGAGGAGTCCTCACAAGTTGAAGGAAGTTCAGAGGTTGGTATGAAGACTCACCTCCTTATCCAGATTTTTCCCCAAGTTGGCCGAGTGGATAAAACCGATAGTAAAAATCCTGAAGAAGAGTTCGAGCACGAATTGGGACGACCAGTGTGAGCAAGCCTTTAACGAGATAAAACACATGTTGGTCAGCCCACCGGTCATGGGGAGACCCGAGGAGGGATGCCCTTTACAACTATTTTTGGCGGTCTCGGAGGACACGGTCAGCTCGGCATTGGTGCAGGAGCAGCCTGAATTCAAACTGGTGTACTTTGTCAGCCGCACACTGTAGCCGACGGAGACTAGGTACAAAAGGGTGGAGAAAATTGCTTTGGCCTTAGTGGTGGCGGCGAGATGCTTAAGGCCGTACTTCCAAAGCCATCAGGTAGTAGTGCGAACGGACCACCCGATCGCAAAAATCTTGCACAAACCTGACTTGGCAGGGAGAATAGTAGGATGGTCGGTGGAGTTGTCAGAATTTGGACTCCAATTTGAGCCGAGGGGATCAGTCCGAGGGCAGCATCTGGCGGATTTTGCAGTACAGTTACAAGAAGAAGAAGCACCTTATGAGTGGATCCTTTATGTGGACGACTCTTCGGAAAAATCCGGTGGGGGAGCAGGCATTGTTTTGGAGGGACCGGACGACTTTATTGTCGAACAGGCAATTGTCTTTCGGTTCAAGATAAGCAATAATCAAGCCGAGTACGAAGCTGTACTTGCCGGGCTCGAATTTGCCAAAGACTTGGGAGCAGCTTCGGTCAAATGCCGAACGGATTCTCAACTGGTGGTAGGACAACTGACAGAGAGCTTCTAGACCAAAGATGATCAGCTGCTTCGCTATTTCCACAAGGTGAAAGAGTTAGTGAAGCAGTTTAGGACGGTTGATTTCAAACATGTGCCGAGGGAGCAAAATGCGAGGGCGGACATCTTGTCCAAGCTCGCCAACAGCAAAGGAAAATATCACTTGTCTTCNCAGTCATAAGGCAAGTCATGATGAATCCTTCGGTGGAGAGCTTGGCCGTTCATGAGATATCCGCTCCGCCTGACTGGAGGAAAGAAATAAGAGAGATTATTCAGAGTCAGGAGGGTGGACTACATGTTCGGGCACTGGAAGCAAAGAAGGTCGCTCGGTATCTGATGATAGTAGAAGACCTTTACAATAGAGGATTCTCTAGCCCTTTGTTGAAATGTTTATCTACGGAGGAAGCCGAATATGTCATGAAGGAGTTGCATGAGGGAGCGTGCGACATGCACACAGGACAACAAGCGTTGCGGGCCAAGGTGATACGAGCATGATATTTTTGGCCGACGGTGGAAAAGGATTGTAAAGCGTTCGTGCAGAAATGTTTGAAGTGTCAAGAACATGGCCGAAACTTCAATCGGCCATCGGAAGAGTTACACAGCTTGACGTCACCATGGCCGTTCGCGCAATGGGGAATGGACATTGTCGGACCTTTCCCAGTAGGACGAGCGCAGAAGAAGTTCCTGCTGGCAGCCATTGATTACTTCACCAAGTGGGTAGAAGCGGAGCCGCTCGCAACAATCACTGCCGCTCGGGTACAGAAGTTCGTATGGACGCTCGTGTGCAGATACGGGATTCCTAAAGTAGTGGTCACGGATAACGGGCGGCAATTCGTTGACAAGCGTTTGGGAGAATTTTACAAACGGTTGGGAATTAAACATGTGACAAGCTCGGTAGAACATCCTCAGACGAACGGTCAGGTGGAGGCGGCCAATAAGGTCCTCGTGGGCGAGCTAAAGAAAGGACTGGGGGAAGCCAAGGGCCTATGGGCAGATGAGTTACAGGAAGTCCTGTAGGGGTACCGCTGCACGCCACATGGTACAACCGGTGAAACCCCATTTAGTTTAACATATGGCGTAGACGCGATGCTGCCGGTGGAAGTAGGGGAGCCCTCCCTACGAAGGAAGATAACCTTGCAAGAAAATAATGAGGAAATGCGAGTAGAGTTAGACACTCTAGAGGAACGAAGAGACGTGGCCATGATCTGAGCGGAGGCTACTAAGAGACTATTGGCAAGACGCTACAACACCAAGGTGAAACCAAGACAATTTGTGGAAGGAGACTTGGTGTGGCGGAAAATAGCAGAAGCCCGGCGGAACCGATCGGCAGGAAAGCTAGCTGCTAATTGGGAAGGCCCCTTTAGGGTGGTTCAGAATTT